AGGGGGGAGGGGTGAGGGAAGGATGAGGGGATGGGAATGAGAATGGGAAAAGGGACCGGGATGGGGGCGGGTGGAAGATGGGGATGAGGGGGGAATCAGGATAAGAAGAGTTTCATAGTATATGAAATGCATAAAGAAAAAAAGGAAATAAATATGAATTGAAAGACAGGAGGATTAAAAAAGCAACACACCTTATCATAGAAGCCATATGGTAGGAATGAAATGAAAGACAGAACAATAAAAATGACAGATGCAGGATCCATAAAGATAATAGGGAAAATAGAGTTTAAAAGTAAAAAATAATATGACAAAAGATAAAAGCGGAATAATAATTATGAACTGAAAGGCAGAGAATGAGAAAATCACTCATAGATCTACTGTATCAACAGGATTCTTATTTATAGAGAGAATTAAAATGAACAGTTTAGTTTTAGTGGAGGTTTTACGGCGCTCGCAACTGCGTAAGGTCATATGAGCGCTAGAAGGTTAGAGGTGTTACAAGAGAGTAAAAAACATAAAAAAGAAGAAGGGGAGATAAGGACGATAGATGTTTGATAGGAAAGAAGAAGCAGACCACACCAGAGCACCCGCCAACCACCCGCTAAAATGAATTGAAAGATAGAAAGTTACAAATCACTGATAGATCCATTGTGTTGAAATGATTCTTATAGAGAAAAGGAATACAAATTGAAAGATGGAGGGTTAAAAAATCAAAGGTGTAAGTACAGGATCTGTAAGTCTTAATTATACGGATCAGTACAAATGAATTGAAAATCTGGGGACGAAGAAATCGCAGGTTTCTGATGGTGGTGATGATGATGATGATGGTAATGATGATGATGCTGATGATGATGATGATGATGATGATGATGATGGATGATGATGATGATGATGATGATGATGATGATGATGATGATGATGATGATGATGGTAATGATGGTAATGATGATGATGATGATGATGATGATGGTGATGATGATGATGATGATGATGATGGTAATGATGATGATGATGATGATGATGATGATGATGATGATGATGACGACGACAGGCCAAACGTTGAACATCCACACCTATACGACCATCTGATTAAATATGACCTACCCTATCCAAGTCTCAAGTATATATTTTTTTATACTTAAAAAAAATGAAGTTATGAAACTTTTACCTTTGTGTTTCCCTTTCTTTGTGCTTTTGGACATCACCCCCCCCCCCCCCCACACACGCAAACACACACACCCACACATACAAACAAACACACACACAAGCCCACCTTATTATCCTCGTAGGTACCAGTCACTTTTTCTTGAAGGAACAAGACACCCTTTGCGAAGGCTGGGTACTTATCAGGATCGAACTCGACTTTCTCAAGAACGAGATCGTCGGTGGCTTCCTCCTCGACCACTTTGCCGTTTTGTCGGTGCTTCAGTCCGTTCCCTATTTCAGTTGGGGTAGGGTTACCCATCTCAACCAGCTCGACATCTTTGTGATCAGTGGTTCCGACAGCAGGCACCTAAAAAAAGGGGTGAAATGGTATAGATTTAACGCCCCTATAAACACTATTAGGTTATTTAAGAGGCAGGACCTCTGAGTTTAACATCCATTTCTGAAAGGACCGAGCCAAATTGGAAATTTGTGTACAATAAGTGTCTTTCCCAAGGACACAACGTCGGACCGAGCTGAGGCCCGAACCCCCGAACCTGCAATCTCAAGATTACGAGTCCGGTAGGCTACCGACGCTACAAGGCTTCTAAGATAAGTAAGATAAGATAATATAAGATAATACTTTATTGTCTCTACGGAAAAATTTCATTGCGGACATAACTATGCTTTGAGAAGTTTTACAAGTATGCACCTCCTCGCCACCTAGTTACATACAACTCTATAACTCCACCTATTCTTAAGTATATAATTTTGACCAAATTCTTTATACTAGAGAAATTGCACCTGTATCTGTGATGTACTGGTTAGGTGCTTCACTGCTGTACGCAAGAAACCAGGGTTCTATTCATAAGTGGGGAGAACATTCTTATCGAATATCTCGGTCTTTCTGCTGGAATATTGTATCCCGTTCAGCCTGTGTTGGCCCTGACAGGCAGGCTCAGAAGCCCGCCCCCTGAATGCAGGATATCCGTAATCTACATCTATAGATATTTACAACTGTTTCTAGATGAGACCGTATAAAAGCTGCAATAAAGTGAAACAATGCTAACAACTCACTATGCTCACAATCTGAGAAGATTTAAAGATTTCTAATTACTTCGTGCAGCACCAGGACTTGCTACACAATAGAGGGAGACAACAGTTTCGATACCCATTCTTCATTGAGCTACCGTAGACTCTACTAGATCTAGTGTAGTAGATAGGCTCGCGGAAATTTGGATCAAATTTTTAGCTTACACCAAATTGGTGCTGCGAAGGGCAGTTTCATGTAGATCTACCTTTCTTCTTGTGCGGGAAGAACGATGCCTTGATTTCTCTACAGTGACAAAAATCACTTTGGTGCAAAGATTTTGCTTGCTCCCAGCAGACGCTACTGCAAGCGGTGCGACGAGCATAAACCATCCTCGCTGTCTGTCTCTTCATCGGGTGACGGATCGCAGGGATGTTACGTAGTAGGGCTGGATTCTGCTCGGTTAATCGAAGGCTTGCAAAGCAGCGGACGTCTTGCGCTAGAGTCTTGCGAGCAGGCTTGTGGTTTGATTTGCCTCTCGCTTGCTACCGGAGGGAACAAGTCCTACTGTACTGTGTCGTGACGTCGCGAACTCTCGTGGCAGTGGGCTCAGTACATATTACAGAAGATTCTCTGGTTATTTGCGTTGAGAGGCTTGCACCAAAAGTGCAAGATTGGTGTTTTTTTTTCATAGTTCGGTTGTAAAAAACCAAAAGCTCTATTCAATGCACTTACAAATTAATATTGGATCGGCTATTCTTATGATGTTAAGGCCTGTTTATTTTTAATGTGCACGAGCCAAGGACCTCAGTTCGATTCCCGTATGGGGAGAATTTTTTACTGAGAACCTCCGTCTTTCTGCTGGGGCGTTGTTCCCTTTCAGCCCAGGTTGGCCCTGACATTGGGTTGAAGTAGGCCTAGCCCGTCTCCTAAATGTTCTGTATTATGTCACTGTGAATGTAACACATCTACAAAATAGGTTACATGCATACGATACAAAAGCCAATCACAACGACTCCTGGAGTTTTCCATTTTAGGGTAATCTAACAGGGTAGGTTTGGAGCTTGTCCTGGGGAAAATCTCTAGGTCTAGCGCAAATCAGTACTGTGTGAATTGTGGGGGCTTGTGGCTGCGGACGGGACTTAAGGCTTGCGCAGGCCTTCGATTAATCGAGTAAACTACAGCGCCACGCCGCGCAGTGACTCTGTGGGCGAATTCTCTC